CGGAAATCGCTGCTCGGGGACGGGCTGTCGATCACGGGGTGGTGAGCAATTGCTGTACTGGGCATCACTTGTTCTTGTACATTCCTTTGTTGGTATTATTGTTGTTATCATTGTTGTTTCTTTCTCTCTTTCTGTCCTATTAAACTGTTTTTATCTCAACCCACAAGTTTTTTTTTCCCCAATTCTCTCCCCCGTCCCGCTGGGGGAGGGGGGAGTGAGCGAGCGGCTGCGTGGCGCTTAGTTGCCGGCTGGGGCTAAACCACGACAGATAGGAATGCATTGGGTACCTGCTCGTGTGTATCAACTTCCTCTGTACGTGTGCAACATGGCTTGCTCAAACGGGTTTTGTCTGCTCTGTATTTTGCTTTCTATTATGTACAGCTGGGATGCACTGTGAGAAAGACCCTTTAAAAACACTCTCATATCTTGTTTCACATTGTTGCTGCATTTCCATTTGCTGGGAAGGGGCAGGGGGGTTAAAGAGAAATCCACTGTCCTGACATGTTCCACGGCACAGATACATGAAGTAGTGTGACCCGAACCCTCTTTTCTTTAATTAAGAAATACACATTCACAATTTGTCATTTTGGATCCCCAATGCAACAAAATTAAGACTCATATCAAGACTAAATGAAAAACAAACATGCACACAAAGGGTATGTCCATAGAGTGCCTCCAACCCAAACTCACCGAACAGCGATGTCTGTACAGCCCTGGAGAGCCAGGGCCAGCCAACAGAAAACATTAGACACTTAGGAGAAATTTAGCTCATCTGCTAATACAGTTCCTAGTCCTTGTTTCCTCTTAAGGCATTACCTAAAATGTTTATAACTTCTGTACTTCTGTCTAAGTATTTGCCTTTCAATAGCTTTTGGACAGAAAAGACTACCTGGGTCCTTCAGCCTGATCTCCTAGACACTACTAGGCAGAGAATTTCTACATTATGCCGACAGCTTCTGGTCACATCAGCATCAAAGAGCCCCTGTTTGATTAAATACAAATTTATGGCTCAGCTAGAGCAAAAGGTATTTGTATAAACACTATATAAATACCTGTATAAATATTCAAAATGAAAATGGATTGACAGATGTCAGTCGATGGGGAGTTATGTGTTGCTTCAAGGCAATGGACTGGAATCTGCCTTTTTTCTTGACGTGCTTGCGTGCATTAACATATACATGGAGAAAATATATTTTTGCTAAACAAAGTCCCAAACTTGTATTAATCCATACCCTCTAGGTTCTTTTGCAAGAAAGGACATGAATATCGTGGTCATCACTCTAGCTGATTTCACAGCTATTTCACAATAAGCACTTCTGCAGATGATCAAAGGGGTTTCTTACCGAGCCACAGTAGCATTCCAGGTTTCCACCCAAGCAAACGGTTCTGGAGGACTGAAGCGCCTCTCTGCAAGGGGAGGTGCAGCGTATGGGATCCCCAGGAACTGGTTGATATTTCTCCACTCCGAGCCAACGTGGATCACCTGGGATTTGCCCATCAGATCTCCATGGGATGGGATGTACACAGATGGGGTTAAATCAGATTCAGAAATGGGCAGGAATAAATCTATTGGGGTGGTCAAGGGGGAGGAAACAGAGGAAAAATAATTTGCTTTTTCAAGTTAGTACCATTTCAGAAATGAAAATTAATCTCATTTCCCTTAATTTTAAACTGGTAAGTGTTTAATTCACTTCTTTAAATGAAAGATAGATAAATTTGTGTTATTCTCTTCCTATAAAATACTTCATGCTATCCTAGATGTTAGCTGCTACAAACATTTAACTTCCCAAACCCTTACTCAAACATTTCTTCCAGATCAGACATCACATTAGAATATAAATCTGAGCATCTCTACAAAAAGGGAGAGAGATTTTCAGACTTCCCCACCCTGCCAGCTCTAAAAAGCACAACGTTAAACCTTTAAACATTTTTAGCAAGTCAGAGAGAGGAAAGATAACCACACGGCTCATTCATTTGAGCTCTCACCAGGAAAGAGTTGCACTTGTCACCTTTCCAGTAGCCGCTTCATCATGCAAGATAGAAGAACTTCAACAGAAGGTAATAAGCACAACCCATGTCCAAATTCCATACAGTCCTGTGTAGGGACTGCTATTCTTGAAGTGGGAATCATCAGTGCAAGTGCTCACTTTAAGTCAGGCACATGTGTGCTTTTCTACATGCCAGAGAGGGGAATGCAAGCAGGTAGGGTACCAGAGGGTCTTCATCACCATCTCTTGCATTACACTCTATTGTGAATACGGCCGTTTTCTTCCACAGAACTTATGCCAGTATCTACATTTTAGATCAAACATAATTGCTACCTGAATTTATTTTTTGTTCTGCAGAAAATTCTGAAAGATTGGGGGGTTATAGTTTGATCCAAATTTCTTTCCTTTTTATATGAGGATTATCTGAATCCTTGGCTATCTATCCAAAGAAGAGGTTTTTCAATAATGCCTCACCTTAAAACAGAGCTAAGTGATACCTCATACTATTTCACTCCTAAAACAATGTATGTGATAGGCAGAAACCAAATTCTAAGTCACGTGACTAAAACTGAAACTGTATATAAATATACAGACACATAAGTCTAGCTTTTATCAGTCTGTGATTTTGCTTCATTTGACCATGACAAAACTCCTATTTCCATCACTGAGTTTGAATCTAGAAGGTTCTCAATGATTTGTCAATTCTTCACAGAAATTTCAGTGAAGAGAAAAGGAAATATTTGTTCCCTTCCCCTTTATTGTTATCTGGTTTTGAATTACTTCTAATAAAAGAAATAATGAGTATTACATGAAAAGAAAGTATCTTTTAAAATCAAGGGGAAAAAACAACAAAACTTAGAGTTAACAAATAAGTACATAACCAAACAATATAATTTTTACCTGTCTATACAACTTCTACTTCTCTCTTAAATCATTTTCACTTCTTTAAAATATTAGTTCATCTTGGTTTAGTGTTTTCTGTTTATGTGCTTTTGTTTGTTTGTTTTCTCCAGAAGTGGTCATTAAGACTTTCAATTGACAGTGGGTTTTCAACACTCCTTGTCTTATTCTCAGAGTTTAAAAGGAAGAACATATAGAAACATCTTCTGCAGATGAAAAGGAAGGAGCTGGACTTTCATACTGTTTTTTTGTTTGATTTTATCATTCTGCACTTTCCAAAACATCCTTCATAGACTAGATGTCCTTTATTACATCTGCTTCAACACTAGATGGTAACAGTATGTTTTCATGCATTTTTATAAAAAGTATTTGGGGATATTGTCCCATCCCACTTGGTTGTAACTCCACTGAAACCACAATGGACAATTGTCTAGGAGACATCCATATTTCTTTATGTCTAGTGAGGATTTCCTCACTCTTCCATTCACAGGAATTGTGTACAGACCACCACAGTTGAGTTCCTTCCTCCACAGCCATAGCATGCTCTTACCTTGTCTCCTATAGATATATGTAGCTGGCTCTTTCAGTAAAACCCAGCAGCTGTGCCCTTGCAGGCCATGTATGCACATCTGTGTATCAGGGTAGAAAAGGCATCTTATTGCTGAAGGCTGGATTTCCAGTGTAACCACTGTACATGACTGGTTCTTTGAACAAGCTGTGAGGTGAAACAAAGAAAAAGAGCAGAGTATTTTGTATGACATTGTTACAAGATGCTTGAAAGAAAGGTTTTACAACAGGTCAAGCAACAAAGATATGAAGTAGCTCTAAAGCAGAATAATGGGACATAAATGTCCCCAGATTCCCAGAACATTCTCCAAAATAGCCAAAGGACAAAAGGTTATATTGGCTTTAAAATGGAGCAATACAGCAAGAGAACCGGTAGGTTTTAGGAGGAGAAAAGCATCTTCTAATAAAGTACTGAGGACCTCAGCTGAATTCAAACAGTCCCCAGGGAGCCCCAGGGAACGGTTTCAGAATAAGAAAAGTGATCCTCTCGCTCGTCCCAGTTTGTACTCAGAGGTGGATATCCACACTTTTCCTTTAGAAAGACTGCTTCAAACATTTACAGGAAAAGGAAAAAAACAGTAAGTTACACTGTTCACCTTCATGAGGGCCATCTACTGCAAAAAGTGGAACCATTCCAAGGACCATCTTCTGCAGCAGGTGGGAACTTCTCCTTATTTCTACCACTCTTCAGCACTGAGGATTTGCCAGTCATGTGAAGTTAAAGGACTCTCTGCTTTCTATTCAGGCTATTGAGTAAAGCAGTTCCCTTATTGATGAGCTTCCCTTAACTGTTCTTTAGAAAATAATTACATCATCCTTTCATTATTCACTACAGTATTCTCCAAATTGTACAATGCCTGGAGAAGTAAGAGATCTCTGTGTCCAAGAGGTGTGAAAATTATGCAATCACTGTATGGTATTTTATGTCTATTGTATCTTTCATTAGATAAATGACTTCAGGTGCTTTCTCTCAAATTCAGAAACGGTGGGGTAATCATTAAAAACAAGTAAAATCAGTGTATCTATGTCAGAAGGTAGGAGGAGGGCTGTTCTTGGTTTTTCAGGCTCACAAGGCAGTATTTTCTGTATAGCTATGAATAACCATTTCTTACCGGATAGACAAAAGTCTCTGGCAGTGGAGAAGTCATTGGATATATCTCTACTAACTTGCACAACTTCAAAGGTTGAGATGGATGAATCCATAAGAACAGAAGACACATTTAAGGGTTGCCATATATCCGAATAATCTGTAAAATGAACCATAAAAAAAAATATAACTAGAGGAATCAGTAAAAACTTCAGAGGAAAATAATATAGAAGTAAAGCATTGTGGAGTTCCCCAATGAAAGGTTTTCACCTTCCTTTGCATCAAATGGGATTAAGTGAAATAAAATATTCAGAGGCCACTGGTTGACTAGAGGCTCCAGTCCCATTTTCAGAGGTCATGTACAACGAGGTTCACACGGGTATTCAGTTAATAGAGGTAAATCTGGAGCAGCTCCATCCAGGTTCGCATGTAAATCCACCTCATTTCAATAAATGGTTTCTGAACAGGCCTAATTACATTAAAGGACATAGGTCATAGTGCTTGCACACAAGCTCCTTGGAAGGCAAGTGGAGATCCCCCAGAACCTTCAGCAGACATGCACATCTATATCTAAAACAGCAGCTGGCTTACTAAGGTAGGCTTCACCTCAGTAACCTGCAAGGTAGATGTCTACATCTGAGTTAATCACACTAGACTCCTTGTACTATCAGGAGGGTCAGTTTCATTATACAGTATCTCCATCCTGGTTTAGAAGTCACCTTTAGGATGAGAGGAATCACCCCCAGGAATCCACTGATTACAGGAGCCAGATGTCCATGTTGTCTGTACAGGGAACCTCAAGTAAGCAGCTGAAACAGAGATGTCTCTGTTCCCTGCATACATCTACATACGGAGAGCTCGTCCTGACCTTACAGACTAAGTGAAAATGAGACAACAGTTTTCACAAATGTTGTATTTTGTCTTCACTTCCCTTACAAACAATCAACCAAACTCCCACAGAAGCACATGCAATTAGCACAGATTTACAGAATTTTTTTTTTAAAGGTCACGAGGATTATATTGACCATTTTAATTTGATTTCATAGACAGAATTACATGAAATTCTATGAACTGTTCTAATATCATGTAACTGCTACATAATTAAGATTTAATTCTATTTCATATGTATATATACACATATACACAAATATGTACACATAGATACACACGTGTATTACATATATAAACACATATATTCACATATATACATGTACACATGCATGTACCTCTGTAAGCATATATGTACACATACATACTGACTCTATTATTCATCAAGAATTATTCTTCTGTCTCACAGTGGATTAAAAAAATGCCACAAACATTCTTTTCTCATACACAAACAGACAAAAATATCTGCAGGCTCTTAGTTTTGAACACGGAAGTCAAAAAAGAAGGCTTGGGAAGAATGGGCCTTTAATTATTTTAGTTTCTTTCAACAGTTCAATATATTTTAAAAGCAAAGGGGCCCTGCTGTGGCCACCGAATCCTCAACAGGAGGTTGGCGTTACCCTCTGCGTGTAATTGTAGGGTGAGGACAGAGCTGAGTCAGCTGTTGTCTTGCTATTCCTGGTGAGCAGATCTTGTCCTGTTGCTTGAGTTCATTTACCACACAGATGCAAAAGCTGTGAGCGTTCATTCCACTAAAGATTTCTTTTAGTCTTCTGAGAAATGGGTGACTTGCAAAGATGGCTAAAGTTTCCTTCCTTCCCCTCCTCACAGGCAGACAGCTGTGACCATATCACTCAACATCAAATCTGAGGCTGAGGGCTGGGGTTCATACAATTGGGGCTGTGGCATGCCCTCCCTGCAACTTGGAAATCCTGGTGCTGACATACTTGTCGAGTTGATGAGAACCCAAGATGCAAGACAGACTACAGACTAGCCTGGTTGCATCATTCCTTGAGCAAATAGGCAGGGAATAGCAATGACTAAATTAGATCCTTTTATTTTTTTATTCCAAATAATTCATGGCAACACAGAGTAACTGCCACAACTCAGAGCTCTATGTTGATACTAAAAGTTTTTGTTTTCACAAGGTAAATCCTTCCCAAGGAAGTGTAAACCTCAAACATGGGTTATCTCCCAGAGTACAAGCTGAAAAAACATGATGTGTTACCATGATTCCCAAGGCTGTTACCTTTGTGCTAGCTCCTTTTGCTCTCATCAGAAGAAAATATCTGATGGAGTGATGAATTGACCTACTGTACCCCATATAACTTCCCAAAAAGCTGAGCCCTAGTTCATACCCATGAACTAGAGGCAAGAAAGCAGCACTGGGTCCCATAGGTCCTTTTCAATCACTTCAAAATCATTCCATTAGTGTTATATTTGGGAGCAACTCTTCTAAGAGAGAGAGAGGATGAAAGTTTCCAGCTAAGTAGAAATGAAGATTAATTTGGTATTGCACTGTTATATGTTAAAGACCACAAGCTTACTTGATATTACAGAGTAGCAAAGTCATCATCAGCACTATATTCAGAGGGAGTCTGAACTAGTAAGGGAGCAATGACCCTGCAATCACAGCTTGACTTGTGCAACAGACCCACTGCACTTAATCTTTTTCTTCCCCTTAAGCACTGACTATTCAATTATTTTAGAGGAACACAGTGAATTTAGTCATGTGGAAATTACTACATTTCATATTGTCAATGGTTTCTCTATTTTAAAACCATCTAATATGACCTGTTGCATGACCCGTGATAGAAAATTTCAGCCTCTAAACCTAGGGTGACAGTTTGTGGCATTTATTTAGAAAGATACTTAAAAATAGAAATCAGCTCTGTAAGTGATGGAGAATTAACCATTACATCCTCTCCAGAGATTATATGCCTGCAGTACTAGATCCCCCAGACCTTACTTTTCCAGATTATATCTTGTCAGTTTAAGTTTTCAATTATTTCTTAGTTTCTTTTTCTAAAAACATGAACAATAAAAGATTATTTTTTAATCAGTATGACTTAAAATTTGTTTTTTACATAAGAGCAACATTGCCATCTTGCACTGTGTACAGTACTAGTAACTGAGGTCCTACTACTGGAACAAGTAATCTCGCTAGGTTCAGACACAAAGCCTCAAATTACTAGCTGTGGTTCTTTCAAAAAAGAGCCTTGTCTAGATTCCATTGTAAGTGAACAAGTCTGGGTGCATCAGTGGTTTTGGAAGATATTTCACCAGGCTGAGTCTCTTCCCATAGCTTCTCTGACTCACCGAGTGACCTCGGGCAAGTCTCATAATCCTCATGTGCCTCTGCTCACAGGTCAAACATTCAGAAGTGTTCTTGCTAAGCTAAATTCTACTCTCTCAGGAAAGAAATCCAAAACAATTCCACAAAAGCAAAACAAATTCCTTGGATTTACACCTCTGACACTTGAATTTGGCCTCCTGTATCTATTTCTCTGAGGTTTACTAGCTTACCATTACTAAAATCTTTTGAAGGTGCTAAAATTAAGCTTGTGAGTGCACACTGCAATTATTAGGTACATGTAATGTGTTCCACATTTGATCACAAGCTAAGTTTCCTACTTCTATATTAAAATATTTTTATTTTATCCCTTTTGGGATAGAGTCAATAATAATATTAATTTTAAATACATATAAGACACATGGGCACTCTGCAGCCCATGCTAGGCACAGAAGAGTGACCACTCATGATGCAAACATCCATAGATTGTACATTTATACCTAAAACAGATGTTATTTTGCTTGTTGTTTGCCCTGAATCTCACAGAAGTGACCCTTGCAACCTCCCACCACCTACATGGGGTTGTTTTGGGGGTTGGCTTGGGGTTTGTGGGTTTTTTTCTTCCGTTCTTAGTCCTGGAAGAAGCATTCATTATCTCAGATGAGATTTATATACTGAGACTTCCAGTGTTTTCCTTTTCCGATCTTCTGCCCAGCTGACCTCAGATGCAGATAAATGCAGAAATGTTATTTTTTATAATAACATTTTAATAATATAATATAATT